GATGCTGTTTACTTAACTGAATTTAGATTCTGCTTTCAGATTTCTTGACTCACGGATTTCTGTAAGTTAAAAGATAGTTGTCTTTTGCTTATGTGTTTTTGTTTATTTATGAGTTTTCAAAATTTCTCTAGTTGGCCTTCTTTATTCACCAAATCAGTAGTTTTCTATAAAGCTTTAGAGAATTCTGAGCAGGCAGAATTGTGTGTTCTGTAGGATAGAGAAGGAGTTTGATGGGGCCAGGTGGACTTTCATATGCATGTTTAGTTCACTTAAACATTTTCAGACTTTGTTTCTACAGAAAATGAGTCTTTCTGTGTTTTCTACTCATGTTCTCTGATAAGGATGACAAAAATCTGTAAGGTGTAGAATGTGCCTTCCAAGTTATGTGTTACAAGCTTCATTATCATGTGATCTTTTTTTTTTTAAACCTTTTTTAAATTGATTCTTTGGAAATTTCACACCATGCACCCCAATCCCACTCATTTCCCAGTCCCTCCATACCCACCCTTCACCCTTGTAGTGTCCCCTTCCCAAAGGAAAACTTAAAAAGAAATAATAAAAATAAAATAAGAAATAAATAAAAATATAAGTAAGACTATTTTTTTTTTGTTGTTGTTTTTTCGAGACAGGGTTTCTCTGCGTAGCTTTGCGCCTTTTCTGGAGCTCACTTGGTAGCCCAGGCTGGCCTCGAACTCACAGAGATCCGCCTGGCTCTGCCTCCCGAGTGCTGGGACTAAAGGCGTGCGCCACCACCGCCCGGCAAAGTAAGACTATTAATTAAAGAAATAAAAACAAAACAAAAAAGAAACCACTTTACTGCTCTGTCTTTCCCGCCTCTCTGTCTCCTCTTTATTGGTCTTTAGTGGCATTGGCAGCTGCTGTTTATCATACAGTCTATATACCCTTTTGTCCACACAGCTTTGCTTGCAAGTGTTCATTATGTAATGAGTTGTTGGTCAGGTTCAAGGCCTCTGGCTTTGGTACACTATCAATATTGGACCCTCACTGAAACTCCTTTTGGATATTCTGCTTTTGCTCTGAGTCATGGAGAACCTGCGGCTATGGTTCTGCAAGACCAGTCTTTTCATGTGCTCCAGCAGGTCATAGACGGGGTAGATGTTGGGAAGTGCCAGCTCAAAGCCCTGGATGTGTGGTCGCTGAGTTGGTCAATCCAGGTTTCTGGGACCACTCCCCCTTCAGGTGAGGGGTGGGGCCATCTTTCCCAAGTGGAGGGGGAACTCTCTAGTGTCAGGGTCATGGGGGTCACTATCCCAGGGTGAGGGGTGGGTCAGCTCTCCAGTGAGAGGGGGTGGCTTTCCTCAGGCCAGTGAAGGGTGGGGCAACTCAGCATGGCTCTTGTACTTCAACACATGGTTCAAAACATGGTTTGCATTGACCCCTGTGGTAACATGGGCAGTGGACATCAACACAGAACCCCAGCTGCAGCGGGACCATGGACCCAGACATGGCCATCAGCAGCAGTTTGGGCTTAGCTGTTACTATTGCCCTGGGTGGCAGCTTAGGCATCTCAGATTGGCATGGGCCCAGCAGCAGTGTGGTCCCTGGGCTCCAGTATAACCCCAGGTGATGGACCCGACCCAGGGCAGGGGAGTGGGGACTGCAGGGTGGGTTAGTTGCACAGCAAGCACTTGATGGTAACAGGAGCCATGAACATCAACATAGATTCTGGCTGCGGTAGGGCCATGAATCTCAGACATAGCCTCTGGCCAGAGCCCAGATGTTACCATGGCCCTGGGTGGCAGTGCAGGCTACCCCAATCTGTATGACTCTGGCGGCAGTTTGACCCTTGGACACCAACATGGCCTCAGGTGTCTGAGGACCTGGGACCTGGGACCTGGGCATATGTCCAGCCTTCAGTGGTAACAGGAGCCACGGACGTCAATGGAGATGTTGGCTGTTGTAGGGCCAGAGACCCTGACATGGCCCTCAGCAGCAGCTTAGCCCAGAAGACACCATAGCCCCAGACAACAGAGTGACATGGCCCTAGCAGCTGCTTGTCCCTTGGACTCCAACATAGTCACAGGTGGCAACTCAGAACCTAGGCATCCTTGTGGCCTTTGGTGGCACCATGGGCCATGGACATCTGCACAGATCCTGGCTGAGGTAGGGTCATGGACCCAGACATGGTCCCCGGCCACAGCCCAGGCCCAGCCGACACCATGGCTCCAGGTAGCCGCACAAACTACCCAGGCATCGCTCTGCTGCACAGTGGATCATTATTTTTTTTAAGCAAAAGTATTTTTTGATAATTCTAGGAAAAGTACAATTCCATATATTTTGTTTTTACTTAGCTTTTTGTTTTGAGACAGGGTTTCTCTGTGTAGCTCTGAATGTCCTGGAATTGTCTCTGTAGACCAGGCTAACTTCAAACTCAGAGATCTGCTTTCCTCTGCCTCTCAAATACTGGGATTAAAGGCGTGAGCCACCACCACTCAGCCTACTTAGCTTTCTTAAAAATGATTATTTTATTGTTTTGGGAGTTTCTGGGACACCCCAAACAACTCTAGGGGAGGTATCCTATACTTGAAACTAAGGTTATTTGGCAACATATGGCTTTTTGGAAGAGCGTTATATCCTGTAGGGGAACTGCAGTTAAATGCTTGTAGATAAGTTTCTAAATGGTCTTATTAAATAAAAGACATGGAGCCAAATATAGGGGTGAAAAAAACACATAGGAAGCTTGTGAAATAGTAGGTTTCCATATGACTTCGAACATTCTTAGTGCTGTTATTATTCTCCCTGTCCCTCTCCTGCCTTCCCCTTTGTCCCTCTTTACACTTAAAACTTCCGGCCGGGCGGTGGTGGCGCACGCCTTTAGTCCCAGCACTCGGGAGGCAGAGCCAGGCGGATCTCTGTGAGTTCGAGGCCAGCCTGGGCTACCAAGTGAGTTCCAGGAGAGGCGCAAAGCTACACAGAGAAACCCTGTCTCGTAAAAACCAAAAAAAAAAAAAACAAAAAAAAAAAACTTCCTGTCAGTTGTTTTCTCCTTCCCCTCTGTATCACCAGTGTTCTACCACCCCCATCTCCCTTTGATTTGTTAAGCACGTGTTTAATATATAGCCATAAACTCATTCTGTAGTTTCTCAAATATGAACTAAGTATCACATCTCATCTATATGGAAATTAGCTTATTTCTGAAACCATAGAACCGTCCTTTTCAGTTATTAGTGCTCACCCAGTGAAGAGAAGACATTCTTTTTGATGTGTATCCCGTAAACGGAACAGTTGCTCTTTGTTCCAGCTGACTGGACTCTTTCCAAGACTGACTTCCTCTTTGCTCAGTCTATCATCATGGTGTTCAGCTCGAGATTCTCTTCAGCTCTTGGACCTCTTCCAAGATGGGCAGTTTCTAAGCATCTTAGGTGTAGTGATCCCATCTCCCCCAAATATTATACTAGATTCTAAAGATATCAGTTAGGAAGGATGGCATGAGGCTAGCCAGAGAAGCCCCTTTAACTGTACCTTTACAAAAAGAAGTTTATAAAACAAGACACTAGTTATAGCAACAGAAGAAAAATAATCTAAAGTGAATCTTTTAAATCACTGCTTTTCAAGCTAATTGATATATGGCCAGATTTTTAATTCCCAGTGTCATGATAGCAGGGTCTATACAGCTAACACATTTGCCACATGTTTGGCTCAGATGCTTTGAAAGCGTTATCTGATCACTTCTACAAAGGCTCCTAAGTACTCACTCTCCATTTCTATATCTATAGTAGAAGAGTGTAAGCTGTCACCAGCTAGTCTGTTGAGGTCACTGTGAATAGTGGTGTTGATCTTAAAAGCTGAGCATTGAAACTTGCAAAGGTAAATGATGTGCTTAATACTATATAACTGTTAAGTAGTTTAGTATAGCCTTACTCTAGTCAAACCAAAATTTTGTCATGTCTGAGATGTTTATTATTAATGTATAAAAATAAGAACTTTGCTTCTAGAGTTTAAGCCCATAGGGGCTTGACTTTTTCTGTATTTGGATTTCTGAAACAGTCTATGATCTACTTTCAGAATCAAGGGATAGTCAATACAGATACAAGTAAAATAACAAAACAAGGGAAAAAAAGTAAAAAAATGTTGAGCAACAATTAAAAGTGATACTGATAATAATTTAAAGTATTCTATTTGTTTCATATAATTAGATGAGATCGGGCATGTTCAGGGTGGTATGGCCGTAGACTTGTTTCATATAATTAGAATAATGGGTTATTTAGAGGAAGTTTGAGGAGATAAAAACCTGAAAAATTGTCAGGGATAGCGTTGGTGAATGATTTATAGGTATAATAGCCTTTGCTATTTATTTGTTGGACAGTGGGAAAGAAATATTACAGTCCTGGTTAATTTTTAGCAGAGATTAATTTTGCTGCTTTCTTTTTAAATATTGTAAAGTATGATTTTAAGGATATATACATAGGTTTATAAAATATACTAGTTGTGTCATTGTAGCCCGCTTTCCTTGAATAATGGCTTAGATGGTAGAAAAACATAGAACTATGGTAAAGTGATTGAGATTAGTGTGAGTTGTGGTTGGAAATAACTCATCACTGTTTATGTGTCACAAAGGTAATATTGAGCCAGTAGTAACTCAACCACATGCTTGAAGATAGCCAGGGCTTTGGTCTCAATACTTGTTCATTGTTTTAACCTTGGGCATGTTATTTAACCTCCATTGGCCTTGGTTCCCATTTATAAAACAGAGTTAAACCAGTGCTTTCCTTACAGGTCCATCATGAAGTTTAGAAACAGTCTGTGTGTGTGCATGTGTAGTCTCTGCACAGTATAAATGTGAACTAATATCTATTGAGTCATGAACTTTGAATAAAAGCTTACACTACCTCTGTTCTCATGTTTGGAAGACATTTTGTAAAATGTGTTTAACGGTCATGAGAAATTGGTTTTAAAATACCTTTTTTTTTTGTTTTGTTTTAGTTTATTGGGACTAAAGGATTTTACTTATGTTTAAATTAATGTTTTCTCTCTTATAGTTTATAAGAGAAGATATGAAATATAAAGATGCTTCGAATAAGCATAGTCATCTGCACAGAGAAGATAAGCACATAACTGTTGAGGATTTGTGGAAACAATGGAAAACATCAGAAGGTAAGACTATGCAGTGGTCTGGAGTCTTGCTTGTCCGCTGCTGCCCTGCTTGGCACTGGCAGGCTACTAATTGCATATAATTTTAAAGAAGTACTATAAGATCATATTTCTGTGAGAATATTTACATTAAAATTTTTCTTAGATCCATTAAAGTTACAGGCTATTTTTAGATAATTTGATATCCTGTACTAGACTAAATAACATAATGTCTATTTGAGCTCATTGTGTGAGCTATTAAATGGTATTCTTATAAAAGTTTTATCAAATTAGAAAAAAGAGAAAACTGAAGTTTTCTTTTTAATTGTGAATAATGTCTAAAGTCTTCAGGAGCCCAGGAATTTTAAGCTTTTTCTGAAGTCCTCTGTAAGCCCTGATAATGCTGTAGTCTGCCTTGTGCTTTAAGGCAATGTTCTAAGACCTCCACAAGAAACATCCTGTGCATGCTGTTTTTCCTGTATATAAACTTCTTCAACGAAGTTTAATTCATAAGTTAGGCACATTAAGAGATGAACAGCAATTATAAATAACAAAGTAAAGTGATTATAACAATGTATTATAAATAAAAGTTCTGTGATGTGGTCCTTTTTCGCTGTTACAGAGCAGGTAGCATATACAGTGTGGATACTCTGGACACAGGAATAATTCACGTTCCTGCCAGAAAAGCACAATATTTTGTTATACTACTTAGAACACTCATTTAACACTTAATGGGTTGTTTCACAGATCACTCTAAGACAGAGGTCTGCACCCAAACCCATGCTTCAGTCACTGTTACCCCCTTTCCCTCTTCTCTTGGTCATCGCCTTCATTTCCTGCTCCATCCAAACTAGCCACTTTCTGTTTTCCAGTGTGCAGATACAGATGTCTTTTCAGCTGGCTCCCTTATCTCCTTTAAAGTCCTTATTAAGGACTAGTTTCCCATTGTGGCCTACTTCCTTTTCTTCTCTTTGGTTTTCCAACATGCGTGATCCTTCATATCATGTTGTTCGCCTGCACTTACTGTGTTCTAAAGTGTTATAGAGTGACTTCTTCATGACACCTGCTCCTTACCCATGAGGTAAGGCTTAGAGAGAAGAGTCTATTGTGTTTATTAGTAAATCTCCACATGAGGGGGACTCTGTCCTCAAAAGTCTTCTTGTTCCCCATCTAATGACTTTGCTTTGAGTAGATCTTTCATGATCTGTGAGAATGTTTCTGATTTGTTTCTTTGTAGTTTAAGACCTTTCCCAGGTAAATAGCCCCTTAATCTTTTTCTCTTAAGCTTTCACTTCTGTCTTATCTCATTCTATATTGCGACAGAGCGATGGTTTGATGTAAGTACAAATCGCTTGCCCTACTCTTCTAATGCAAGTTTCTTTCCCTTTCTCTCTCTCTCTCTCTCTCTCTCTCTCTCTCTCTCTCTCTCTCTCTCT